GTGCATGCATTCTGCATGTGCCTGTTGCCTGTTTGGTGTGTGCTGTGGACAGAGAAGATGCCTGGTTGCGCCGGAAGGTAGCGCCGGGCTTAGGGACAGGTGTCTCGTCAAACCCTTAACCAACCAACCAACCCCTCCCCCCCTTTCACAACGTTCACGAATTTCGAGGACGAATTTCAGGAAACCGGTAGCGCCATCGTGTCATTCACTCGGATGACGCTCCCTCATCGTTCGTCTTCTGCCCTTGTACAAGTCCTGCAGGTACGCTCGTTCATGCATGAAGACACGATGGCTATTGTTTGGACGGACTGGTGTCTGTGTGTCTGTGTTTGTGTGTGCACACAGGCTTCCTGAGTTTGTACGATGCGGCGCAGTCACGGCATATACAATCCAATCCACCACAACACCCTCACATTCATTGGCTGACCTGCCCGTGTGTGTGGGTGCGTTCATGTGCAGACAGGATGGGGCGACCATCGGCCGACGACTCGGGAGAGAACGGCGAGCGGATGGAGGCCGACACCGGTGCGGACGGGGACAGGGAGAGGGAAGGGGCTGGCAACGCACATGTGCGCGCGTCCGTCGTGGGGGACGGTCATGGTGACGGTGATGGAGGCGTCATGGGGCGGGTGGGCAGGGGCGAGAGCGAGGATCACAGGGGTGGAAGGAGGAGGGGACTTGGACACCTGTCGAGCCGCCCCATGCAGACCTAACGAGGTATGTATGTGACGGGCACATGCACACACACCGCAGCCACAAAACCCACTCAATCACTCAGTCAATCGCCCCAATCCATCACTCCTTCCCGATGGTGTTTGTGATGGTGTGTGTGAGTGCAGGTTGATTGTTACTTTGCGATTGGTGGGGCGACAGTCAGTACAGCGAGTGGAAGGTTGTGGGCAGCTGCTGCTTCCGCCTCATGTACATGTGTGTGTGTTGTGCGAGATGTGTGTGTAAAGCGGTTAATAGACATAAAGCAAGGCATCCAAATGGACACATGTGCGTCTTTGTTCATTCATTCACGTGGTGAGAGTCACTGAAATGTAACTGCCACCCCTGAGCAGGACCGATAGAAGCTCATCCAAACGGCCTTGAAGT